AGCTTGGTTAATTAAATCTTGGTTGATTCGCAAATGGCTACTTCAACTACTACTACTACTACTAATTGTTATTATTATTATTTCTAAACCACCTAAGAATGATGCTCAGAGAGCACCGAGGACTCCACGGTTATATATCTGCTTACAGGTTTCTGACACAGCGTTTCAGAAAGAATTCAGATAATGCTCCAGCAATTTTTTGTTCTGGGTATTACTTTCCCATGTCTGAAGATAAACCCAAAAAGTCCTGCTTGTGAAACCTGACGAAAGGTCATACAACTAAGATTTCAAGAAATCTTAGAACTGTAGCATAGACTGGGAAACGAACAAACAGTCTCAGAAGAAGGAAATGCTAAACCATTTCTGTACTGCTGCCAGTCAAACTACAAGAATCTGTCTATGCCATAACTCGGAGTAAAACTCAGTTTGGAATCCTTCCCATTCTTCTCAACTTCCAAGTGTGATCTATCCAGGTCGGTGGCTATCCCTGAAATATCTCTCAAACTGCTGGAACACAAAAAACATGTTTTGCAAATGAATTTAACACCTAAACAAGTCCATGAGAGCCCTGGAAAAATGCACTTCTTGAAGGCTCCTGGTCTTTGGACAAGAAGTGGTCATTAAATACAACTACTATGATCATTCTCCATGTATTCAATAACGTTCCTCCTCCAGGATAGCAAGAATTAAAATCTGGCAGCAAGTCTTGGAGGTGTTATTAGAAACATCACCACCACCTTTCAGCCTCCTCTCTATTAAATGGAAATCAGCCCTGGTGGATTGTCCATTCAGAAAGCGTCGAAGAATATTTTCAAGAGTAGATATGTAGTAAAGTACATTTCCTTTACTTTATGTAAAGCACATAAAGTACTTTACAATAGTAGTAAATAATAATGCTAATACTACTACTACTAATAATAATAATGCCTCTTTCACTGTCAGCATGACCATAATGTAAGCCTAATTACCACCAGCATTAGAAGCAGCTTGTGGTTTTATATTACATTGAGGTAAATTACACTAGAATTAGTGTGGATTACTTTTATCAAATAGGGAATAAGCTGTTAATTAACTCCCTGCTGAAGCAATCTCTTTCAGAGCTTGCAACTGTTATTAGCTCTAGATTAAACTGTTGAATTAATTTCCCACTTACTTACTATTTCAAGAGGTTTTTTTTTTTTAAAATTTACCTGGCAGCAGCTTTAATGAGAAATTGTATTAGTGAACATAAATTGTTTTCCCCCCTTTCTTTTGGTGGGGAGAGTAAACAGTTTGTAATAATGTTTATGCAGTCATTTTGTTTGAACAAATAAATGTATACACACACTCACAGTTTTTAATTAGCACGCGGCTATCAATATATTAAATCTTGAGATTATATTATGAATTTCAGAGAAAACAAACAGGTAATCCCCATATTTAAAATGGCTTGCAAATAGAAATAAATACTACACTGATAAAGCTATTAGGACAAAGATAGAGAGATCATGTCCTTCATTCACATCTCAAACTAAACCTAGGAATCTGCAAATCAAATGTATATGATTTTTTTTTAAAATTATTTATTTGAACAGTGCCAAGACCTGCCTGCCAGTTTTAGAAAAGTGTTCTTCTCCTGCAAAAGAGGCTTCTGTTTTTCTCCCCTATTTTCAGAAGATAGTGGTGGTTCTGAGTGTGTCTTCGAAAAAGCTCTCGAGGAGGAATTCCTTGCAATGGTGAGAGTGTAATTTATTTGTCGGAGTGATTGAAGGTATTTCCCATTATCTCCTTTTCTCTGAGATTTATATCAACCCAAGAAAGAAATTGTAGTCTCATTTTTTCCAACAATGGGAACATTATTTAGGAAAGAAGTCTGACCATCAGCATTCCAGCAGGTCAAAACTTCTGGGTGACTCGCAAAGTTGCCAGATTTGTTGTAACCGCTAACAAGTTATATGTTCTCTATTTGTGCAAGGCGACAATGAGAAGTAGGGTGAATGAAATAGACTCTGAGAGTTTTATCATGTTGGTAGTTTTTCTCGTGGAATGCATTTTAATTTCGCCTGTGTGTACATCATGGTGTTTTATTTTTCTGTTTTGTGATGTTTGCTTTTAATCCCGGGTCCTTTGGACATAGATTGATTGTCCTCACACTCCTGATATCTTCCCCTGCGATTGCATAAAAGTGTGAAAAAGCAGGGAGGCTGCAAAATTTCTAGTGAGATGATTGTACAATGAAAGACATAAAGCTGCATCCGATTGCTTGACCCTCTTCTAAAAAGTGGGAGAACGTTTACGATGAAGCCTATTAAAATACAACATTCCACTGGTGTTTCAATTACTTCTAGCTTCTGTTTACCAAGATTTAACTACTCATGCAAAGCTAAAAAATAATAATAGCAGAAAAATAGCAGAATCAAAATATGAGAGAAAGCAGCATCCTCTGGTAACCAACATCGCTTTACAGCCTTTTAAACTGAAAAAATCATTTTCAAAAAGAATAGGCTTAACATACATCTCAAAAATCCCAAATTCCCAAATAAATGCTCTCCTCCCCCCCTCAAATTACTATTTTATTATGATTTCAATTAGCAGTTTCTACTCTTTCTCAAAGATACAAATGGCTTTTGCTTTTTCTCGGGTAGAAATTATTATAGAAATACCAACAGGAAATACAAAAAAAAAAAAACCCTAAGCAAATATCAAGTTGGAAAAGCATCATGTTTCAACATGTACTCACTTGAACGGAGAATACAGAACAAGTTCCACTTTTTGTAAAGTGTGCAACTGAGAGATATTTTTGGACCATCTTGACCATCTTCATTCTACCATCCACTAATTGCTAATACAGATAAGCCAGATGTGAGAACTACACAAATATCCATCTTTTTCCATATGAGATTAGGCCCTGTTTCCTGCAAATTTATTAGGGGGGAGAGATTATGTTCTTACTTAAAGCATTCAGCTGGGACTTATGGAAGGTATTAGGTTACAGGTGCACAGATAACTCTGTCCAGATGATGAGGTTACATCTGGAACCTAAACAATAATTTTGTTCTTGGCTGCTTTGTAGTGTAAATCACATAGGTCAGAAGGAAAGGCTTAACTCACAAGTAATAGCACCATTTGGGCTTGTCAAAGCCCAGCTAAAAGGTCCAGGATTTCAAAATCTGCTTTCAAATGAATGTGGCAGCATGCTTGATTGGACGCCCAGAGTCATTGAGTGTTGGGCGGCATACAAGTTTAATAAATTATTATGAATAATTATTGATTTCGCTAACGCTAGGAGCAGTTGGAAGCAAGGGTGGGGACAATTGGGAATTGGACCTTGAAATGAAGAGGACCTCCTTGGCTCAACAAGAATGGTTTGCTCACAACCATCTCCATCAGGTGCAATCCCCTCTGATTTGAAATTCTGCCACTAGATCGGCACCAGTGATATCGGGACAAGCAGGACACAATGGGAAACTAAAATATGTATGTGATTGTGGAATGGTCATACGAGAAGACATTGCAGGACTTGTGCGGTGCTCTTGCGTACTTTTGCCTGTTGATAAAAGAACAGGAGAAGTGAGCAGAGCCTCAGAGCGGCCTGTTTAATAGTCCCATGTCAGAGGTCTCACTTTAGGGACAAGGGCTCTGAACTCTCACCTAAAACAGTGCAAGAAAGGCCACATCTTTTATGGAAACCACAGTGGAACAACACCACATTACATGCAAAAGGTCTCAAATCAATCCCTGGCATTTTCCAGGAAAATGATCTGAAATGCTGGAGGGTTGATACCCACTGGCAAGGACAGCACGGAGCCAGATAAACCACTGATCTTACTCAATATATGGCAGCATCTGACATCTTTATATAAGGAGTGGGAAATCTGCATCTTCTTGGCCAGAAACAGCCCACAGCCAAATCTGCCCATTGCAAGCATATCCAGTTCTTTGAAGAGAAGGAGTGAGAGAGAGAAAAGGGGAGGAGAAAAAGAGAGAAAAATGGTGCCAGAGAAAGGGGAGAGAGATACTAGAAGGAGAAAGGATAGCTGATTCCAACCATTTTGGATCCAGGTTCCACCCATCATTTGCTTCAGTCCTGCCTACCTCTGTAATTCAGCTCACAGATTACTCTCGTAGGAATGTATTCCTTGGATGGAAAAAAAAGGTTGTGTAGAATGGCCACCCTTATTTTTCCTCTTTGCCATGCTCTCTCTGGGCCATTTAATCATGCAGATCTTTCATTCTATGTATCTGTCAATCTCCCCAAGTTAGACCTTAATGCTGATAGGACATGATGGAAACAGACCATTCTGATAGCTCAAGTAACTTCATGAGTATCTATTACAAGGCTTCCTATACCTACCTCACCCTTGAAGAGCATAATTCGAGATTAAGAAATCATGAAAGTTGGATTTTTCAGCAGGGGTGCAAATCTGGGACGTACAGTCTTGGATCTATCTCTCAGAACTTTCAAAAATTCCAGCACATTATTTTTAATGTGATAGAAGAAGGAAATTATATACTACATGGCTGGAAGAACAATTTTTAAAAACCTTCAATTTTAATACAATGTTAATTCAATTGTCCTGGATCCACTTCTTCTGAGATTATGGCTTTAGCTCATTGTGCAAGGATGAACTGGGGACCTGGGAAGGAATTGGGTACCCTTGCTTTTCAGTTTCAACAATAATAAACTGTGCATGTGTCCCATAATATTGTTTAATATTCTCCCATATAAAGAACTGTCCCATTTTGGTTGACCTAATAAAAGCTGTGCTCCCAAAGGGCCTTTAGAATTGTTCCAATGTGGTTTCCTGTGGCCGATAGTAGAAATAAATTCCTCCTTTTAGTCAACTCCAACTGAAAGTAACAAATCAATTTCTTGGAAAATCACACTCAGGGGTGACAAGATAGATGAGTTTGTGGATAAAAGAGTAGCCAATACCAAAACCACATGCTAAACATAATAAACTTTTGTTGCAGAGAAAAGAAATGCATAAGTCACAAAAGATACAAAGAGGAGTAAACACCTTGTATTTGAAGAGTCTTGAGCTCTGCAAACTTTATGTGGGTTTCATCATGGAAAAACAAAGTTCTTATGTCTGTAAAGAAAAACATGGTTAAAAGCATTTATATAGTATGGAATGGGAATACTCTACTTTTATTTATTTATTTATTTATCTACACAGGGAGATGGAACAGGAAAAGGTGGGCATTTCAGATATGGAAACCATTCTTTCTCAATGTGGCCATACTGGAATGTGTCCTGGTTATACTGGCTGGAACCCTGGTTACAGATGGATATTAAGATGGATATTAAGCAGAACTTTCTGTCAGTAAGGATGAAGCTAACCTTTGTCTTAAAGCCAAATTTCTGACACGTGATATAGAAATGTTACATGATATAGCTTTCCCAAAATTATACTATTTCAGAGTTCAGGTGAAAGAAGATCCATTGTCATATGTTCTCCAACATCATTAGGACTTAAACCAGGAAAAGTACTGGGCAGTCTGCTTTGAATAATTAATTTGGCTTTCTTCATTACCATAAAGATTTATAGAATTGTCACGCAAATGATCTCTCACCATTTCCCCCCCTTATTCTCTTTATGTCAGTAGAAAAACTGGAAGGGCCACTTCTATGAACTCTTCAAAGGAAGAAGAGACCCTCCAATCATAAACTTGGAAGAGGTCTACTGAGTCTATCTCCCTGCTTATTGCAGGAATCCAAATTCTCCAAATTTTATGGGCACGGGCTTCATAATTAGCAGTGATAATAAATAATTCTTTACTTCTTTTATCTTAAGAAATGGGTTCTTCTCGTTTTAAGTTTCTTTTTTACATACAGCCATTAACAGTGGTAGCCACATTATATGCATGAACAGGCTATCATTGTTCATCATCATAGTGGAATTGACAGAATATATTTTAAGACACTGTGAGCAATTGCAGCTGCTTTGAACAACACCAAAAGAATCATCATCATAATTGTCATCATCATCATCATCTTCTTGAAAAGAAACCAGCAAAGCAATCCTCCTCCAGAGTGAAGCATCTCAGAAACATTCTCAGAAAAATTTTAAGGAATAATGGTTGAACTGGACTCTGCACTAAATTACTAAATAATGGTCTAATATCTTCATTCATCTTCTGCCACCCACATGGCTGCCCAATATCCCTTTTTCTACCTGTTTAGATGCAATTCCCACCATTCAAATTCGTATTTACCAACTATGGATAAAAAACAAGTTATCTAAAATACTGTATTGCAAATACTGCAAACAGAACTGTTTAGTCAGGATAGCACACAGATCTCCAAAACAAAACGCTGTAGTAATACATTTCTAACCACCTTAACAATAGATTATACAATATGAAATCATTAAAATGACAATGGACCCTTAAAACAATTGGCCATATGCTTGTTGGTAGGTTTGTCACCAGTGCTACGTTCACATTGATTGACCTCTGTTTGTCAATGGAAAGATATTTAATTCAGTTTAAGCAGAACTGGAAAAAAGCAAACACAAACGTATACTCTTATCTCTTAATCAATAAAAAATGAAATAACAAGCCACGGGTAGTGGTGATGAAACAGTCTTGAATTTGAAATGTTTTGAACTTGGAAGATCCTTATTTCAAGCTCAAATCATGATGTTTTTAGTTTGAAATAGCTGTTCCAATTTCACCAGAATTACTCCAGTGTTGTTCCAGCTATTCTGAAAGCATATGAAGCTCTGATGTGAGCTGAAAATATCTGTTTTGAATTCAGAAAAGGGCAGTATGAAGCTTAGAACATTTGAAGAATAGTTAAGAGGAGTGTTAAAATACTTATAGGGAAGCTGAATTTGAGGATGGAAACAATTGAGGGAGGGAGGGAGGGAAACTAACTTCTTTATCCCTCCCTTCCACTCCCAGGTCTGGAATTTTCTTCTTAATGCAGTAACAGTTGTGAAAGCAAACCTGCTATGGTGATATCTGCTTTACATCCAGACTGGATTATTTTATGGTTATTTTATGCAGGGAGATCTTTAAAAATGGTATTTAAAGCCTTAAACACACTTTAGTTCCAGATTAGCCACCCCCTCCCTTATTGATTGGTCTCTGATGGAGAGGGACATCTCAGCATCCCAACTGTGAAAGAGACAATTAGGACAACCGTAGGGCCTTCTCTATGGCCACCCCAGAACTCTGCAACTCCAAGTTTGCAACTTCGTCTGCTAATATTCTTCACCAGACAAAGACTTTGTTTTTAGAAAAACACTGAATTTTGGATGCTAACTGCAGCATCTTCCAATTTTATCATTTTTATTAAGGATTTTTTGTGTGTGTGTGCATGTGTAATTGTTTCTTCTAAGTGATTTTAGCCTTGTACTCCCTCCCACCTTTTAAACTCTTTAAATTGTGCATTGATCTCAGATGTTCTATAAACAGCCCTGAGCAATGCACTGGGCTCGGAAAAGCAGGATAGAATTTTTCATATGAATAAATAAATAAATGTTCATTGATCCACCCTGAACAGCAAACAATTTTTGACGAAACAAGAACTCTCTCAGCAGTTATTTGTCACAGCTGGGTCAGAAGTCTTCTTCATATCCCTGGCCAAACCAACAGCTATTCTACTGGTTTACAACGTATAGAAAGAAGAACTAGCATGGCTTCTTCTATCATCCTAATTAATAATACCTAATTATGATTCACTACCCTTTGGCACGTCTGTTTCCATACTAGTCACCATCAGCAATTGCTCCAACTGACTCTATCATGGAGAGAGAGATTTTTCTCCAGCCTGGCTGGAACCAACTTGCATTTGGCCTTCTTCTTCCCAAAGCACCTCATTTGTTACCATTCCATTTGGTCACTTGGAAGGAGGAACTTCCTCTAAGGTTTAGCCTCCATGATTGCTGATCCACATCCACAGGACCACAATACTTTTTTTTTTTTTAAAAGAATTTTTTTGAAAAATTGGCCTAACTGCACAATATTTCAGGATCTTCATGGGAGATATAAGAGACCATTGAAAGCTCGCAAGATTTGGAAATCACTTGAAATTTAGAGCATTTTATATATTTTTTTCTTTAATGTACTATTATTTTTTATTTATTCACTTATTTAATTGCTAATACCCAGCACCTGAAAGGTTGCCAAGCTTTGATTTCCTTCTGTTCACAAACTCCCCCCAACACCCACTTTCTCTCCCCTCCTGCTATTATATGCTGTTCTTCTAAACTGCCTTGAGTACAATAGCAGAAAAGAACAATAAATAAAATGAAAGAAATAAACCATTACAACAGTATACTCTATCTGAGATATTACCCCTTTTCCACTGGATCTCATATTTTCTCTTTATTCTGTTCTTTCAAAACAAAACCATCCCGCCTCCTCTTTAAGAGTATGTTCTCGCTTATGTAGGTCATCCCCACATTTGGGTGATGAATAAATTGGCAGTGACAGGTCCTTTGATATTTTAGCATGGCTTCCCACAGATGGAACACATCCAAAGGCCAGGGTGCTGACCAATTCACATTTGCTAAATAGATCAACTGAAATAAACATAATAAATGCAATAGATTTAAAAAAAAAAAAAAAGTCTAATGAAAGGACACCATTTCACGCTAGTTGAAGACTTGACTTATAGGAAGTGGCAGTTCTCATGGCCCTCAGACGGCAGTTGGCTTTGCCACTTGACCATTGGACAGATTCACTTCAGTGACCAGAAGAGGAAATTTTCTGCCTGATTTCAGGGTAATTTAGTCACCTGCTCCATGATAACCACAGCCAAGTCAACAGCACTTGGCTGAACACCAAAGGTGTGTGTCGATGCACGGAGGAGTCGTTTTTGCATATGGGAGATGAACTATTGAGATGTTAATGACAGTGGAATACAGCCCAATTTTTTGCAGCTTTCCTGGTACACATTCTCTCTGTTTGGAAGACAATGGTTCCATTTGCTCCCTTAAAGCTGGTTTAGGCAGCCATGAGCTAGAGGACTGGAGCTGAAAAGGGCTTAACAGTCTACGAGCCTCTTCTCTTTCCCTTGACAAAGACAGCATTCCAACCATTCTTTCTCCAGAACTCAAAGAATGGCCGACTCCCACAGAGAGCAGATGTTCCATTAAATGTAGCTAGCAAAGTACATAGGCCCAAATGACATGTACAAACCAGCCAGTTGGAGGAGATGTGTGTGTGTGTGTGTTAACAGGTCTTCTTTACCCTACCTATCTTACCCTATCCAACCTAACTATATGCAGTCCCACAAGGAAAGACTGGAATTTGAGTGTGCTTAATCTAGAACTGATGACAGAGAGGCTGGCCATGACCATTACTGAGCATTATCTTAGCCACAGTGAGCCTGCTAAAGCAGCCATTTTGTGAAAGCCCTTATAACACGCTTTCAAATCTCCAAGTGCGTCTACTGGCTCAAAAAACTTGCCTCCTTCTGACACAGTTTGTTTTCCCAGCTATGGATCACCAGATGTGCCTGGACCCAAATTCTCATTATCTGCACCTAACAAGACAATGCGAATGACTATAGCAGAACGTCCCATTTAAAACAGAAGTTATCCAGGGGACTGACCTCGGAAAGATTGTGTGTTTGTCTGCTGTGCTTCTTTCTTGATGTCTTTACTTCCCTCTTTCCACTTTAAAATCTAACTTCAACTTAACTGCTATTGAGTTTTCATGTTTTAAAATATGTACAAATATTTCAATAAAAATAGCCCAAGTAAAGCTTCAGGTTTGTTGGAATCATGCTAAATGCACTGTATTGAATTTTCTGTTTCCAGTCAAGTATTTCAATTCAATTGGTTCTGGGTGATTGGAAAAGTTCTTCAGGTATTTATAGTTCAAAGCTAACATACTCATTTGACAAAATGAAATGCTGCATGAGATTTTCAGAATTTGTGGAAGTTTTCCCGTTCAACTTTTCTTCAGAACATTCAATTTATTGGTGTCCCCCTAAGACTCAGTAGAATGACAAAATAACCCATTTCACCCACTTCTGGGTAGCAGATCTGCTGGTGCACCATGTGCTAACCGTCAGCTGTTAAATATTTGAAATAAAACACATATGGATCTCTCACCTAAGGATTGACTAGGAATG